CTCACTACTGGTGCCAAAATAGGTGGAGCTTTTCTTGCCATTTATGCTGTTTCAAGGCCATTAGCAATCCATTCTGACCATGATCCTTCTGCACATAAAACTTTAATCCTTCCATAAATGACTGTCCTCAGTTCACTTTAGTGCTGAATTTCTGCACACTTCTTAATCCTTTCCTGCAGCACAGACTATCAAAGCATCAAGGGAGTTCTTGAGCACTATTCAGATCTGCCCTTCTGCAAGATTTCTGTAGCTCTGTGAACAGATGGTGGGTGTGAATGGGAAGAAGTTTCACTGAAAAGCAATGTTTGAAGTAAACTTGGACACCAATGAGTATGCTCAGTGGGTTTTCAATAATTTAATCTTGTTCAGCCATTGTTTTTTTAAGGCAACACCCATCATATTTAAACATCTGCCACTTTCCTTTTGTCTGAAAAGAAAAACTCAATTCTAAGTGAAAGGAAATGTTTGAAGCTTCCCAAATCTCTCAAGTGACTCAAGTATCCTGTTTGGACAGTGATCAAACCTAATGAATTAAAAGTCCAAAAATATGAGCAAAATGGACCATGTAGACAGAAGTGGAGCATTGGTCTAACTTTGACCTTAACATTTGACACTGTGATAATACAGCAGGAGCTCACATGGCTCTCTACCTACATGCAAGCAATTCCCTTCTAAGAATTCCTTAGGGACATTGTTATGAACTATTTGAAGTCTATTCAGAGCCATTACATCAGTGTGCTGTGAGAGAGTGGCTAGTCTACCACAGAAAACCAGTCCATAAATTTAATGAAAAGCCTCCGGTGTGGGCCTCCAGAGAAACTGCCCACTGCATCACTCCACAACTCTCTGCTCTGGCCTCCCTCCCGCTCAGCCTCATTGGAGAAGATTACTCCTAATGCAGATTTACCACCCCTTAGAGGAGGTTGCCCTTTTTCATGTTTCTTCGAACTAGCTTCCTTCCAACCAGGAGGGATGCCCAGATCAGTGACTTGTGCCCAAACACAGCAAGAGAAAAATGTGTTCACCCCTAGGAAAAAAGCAAGCCTTTCCTGTCACAGGTTTGGAAACAGTGCATTACATCATGATTTGTCAAATTATGTTAACGAAGAATTCTGCCATTCTCCTGTGGCCTGTGACTTTCCATCATCTCACAGGGGATGTTCAGAGGACCAATGGGACTTTGACCAAGAGGCCCCAGATTAAATTGTGGTCCATCTCCTTTAATATTTTGAATACTTCAGTTGCATCTCTTGGTATAAAATACTAAATTGTCATTTATTTCCAGGGAAGCTTCTTAGGGTCATTTCAACAAGACAATACCTTTATTAGGACCAGTCAAAAGGTCACAAAATAGTGAGCAAACATTTTAGTTTGCAGCACTTTTCATCAGGTTGAGGAGTGGGAGAGAAAATGTTGACTTGATATTGTCTTAAAGTGGATTATAAATGAAGCATGCAGACTTAATTGGATTAGGCTGTACAGTGGTACCTCAGGTTAAGTACTTAATTCGTTCCGGAGGTCCGTACTTAACCTGAAACTGTTCTTAATCTGAAGTACCACTTTAGCTAATGGGGTCTCCTGCTGCCGCCGCACCGCCAGACCACAATTTCTGTTCTCATCCTGAAGCAAAGTTCTCAACCTGAAGCACTATTGCTGGGTTAGTGGAGTCTGTAACCTGAAGCGTATGTAACCTGAAGCGTATGTAACCTGAAGCGTATGTAACCTGAGGTACCACTGTACTAGGTGTTGTTCAGATGTCAGGTTGACAAAGAAGGAAATAAATTTTTTTTTTAAAAAAAATTAAAATTCAGCAGTTGCTAAGTGAAGCATACAGGATCCTTGTGTATTAGAGAACAGCAGAGAAAAAAAGTCCATTTTTTAATAACCTGTTTGTCTATTGATTTTAGGTGATGCATTTCTAAGAAGTTAGTCCAAAAGGTGCATGACTTTAAAAAAAGAAGTTAATGTCGTTTGCAGGAGACTTGACTCAGACCAGGGTTAGTGCTGGGCAGGCATCACCTTATACCCTTTTTCTTTTAAAACCATCCTCCTTATCTGATCAACCACTGACCCAAAATGCTTCAAGGTAGAACTTGCCCTTTTTGTCCTCTACTGCCATTTTGAGGAAAATATTTCATCTGTAGATGTGGTTTACATTAGAAGGAAATTTCTCATGGGTGCAAATGGTGGGATTTCCTCCCAAGGCCCCAAGCTCAATCCACAACATCTCTGGAGAGCAACTTCCAGCCTGTGCAGACCATGCGGAGCTCAATGACAATGTGCTCCATGACAAATTGTTGATTTGCTAAACCTTTTCTAGCCTTTCTTCAAAGGAAGCTTGGGCTAGGCTTTGCTGGAAATCTGCCATCTATCAGATGAAGACTTGGTTAACTTGATTAAAAGGGCAAAGGAAAATCCGCCTTAATCTGTACTTTAATGCTTTTTAAGGTGCATCCAAGTAATAAGCATTGCAAGCAAAAGAATTTCTGTAGGAATCTTTCAGGGCATGTGGCTGCCTCCCTCTATTTACTTTGGGGTTGCAAGTTTACAGCATGGAGTTCCTAGTCATGGGGAGGGAGGCAGTGGTGCAGACTATTGCCCCGCTACAGCAAATATTGTAGATCTGGCACTGTGGCTGTAGGGTTGGGTTTTTTATTTTGTTTTTTGTAACCTTGGTTTATTTAAAACTATGTCAGGTATTAAACAGCATTGTAGGCACCCCATAGTAAAACTGCCAGTGGGCCAAAAAGCATTATCAATGTAGCAAAGTGGCCTCGATAGACACTGGAGCAAGGTCACAGCCCTCTGCTCCATTCTTGGCAAAAAGTCATCCATCAGGGCAACCAAGGCAGATTTGGTCCCATAGCCAACCCTTAGCACAGATTAGAATGGGTCTAGATAATCCGTACAATCCAAGAACACCCCAACCCTCACTACTTTCCCCAATAATTTGTGAATCCTGGTTAGTCCAAATCAACAGGGACGGCTTCTTTAGGAGCAGCCCCACCACTGCCACTTTCAGGCATCAGGGACTACCCTCGCTCTCACACCTTGAAGCATTCTCCATGCCCTGGTCCCAACCAGGCTCCCTCTGCAAGAATTCTGTAATGCATGAACTGAAAGTGATGCCACAATATGTGACAATCCATGGCATCAGGAATGCAGCAACTGTGGAGCCAAGAATGAACAATTTTATCCTCTAAATATGTAGCTAGTTGATTACCTTGGGCCCCTCCCCCCCCTTTGACTTCCCTGAAGGATTCCATGCTGGAAATGGCATGGAGGGGGAGCAACCTCATGCAGCCTAAGATTCAAATAAGCACACAGAGAGGCAGCACTAGTCCTAAAGTGTTTCTTTAAAAACACATTTCTAATATGATGGGAATACATGTGTGTACTATATGTGTATATACAAAACAAGTGTGCATATGTGTGATAAGAATTGTGGGAATATTACCATGTTGTGCCAAATGAAAAGGATCCATCTATACAGCTTTATTGCTGACTTTTAATGACTTTTGGCTGGTGACTACGCTAAGCTAATGGAATTTGCAGCTGATGCCTACATGCTTCCACTGGTGCAAATGGCAGCAGCAAAATCCGCTTGGCAGTTTCTACTTGGGCAGTAAGCTGTGCAGCTGGCTGGCAAGAAGCAGTCTAGTGTATATCTTATCTGCAAGGGTAGGTCGCTGGTTTGGAGGAACTGATGCTATCTGAAAGACTAGCACGTTTATCAGGGTGTCTGTTAGCTCCCCTGCTGCCCTAAACTAGTCTAAGACTGTTATCTAATGCGTGTGTACTTCTGATTAGGCTTCATTGAAATCAGTGGAATTTGCTTCTTGGGAAATACAGATAGGATTGAGCTGCATGTCAAGACACTTGAAATATGAGCTGTCAGCTTGTTTCTCAATGATTATTTACCCACAGTAGGCAACAAAGACTGTATCCACCAGTCTTCAAGGCCTAATCATTTATCTTAGAACTAGGAGACATTGCCGAGTGTGAATCCAAACTGGGCTTGGAATTGCTGGTCTACCCAAAGTCAAGCCACTGTGTTGGATATTTCACACATTCTCCATGCATTCAGCCACTCCTATGTCCTAAGACAAGGGGCATCAGAATCAGCATACTAGATATTGGGGAAGAACAAACTGTACCTCCAATAAACTCTGTAGGGAAGGAAGAATCTATTGAGTATTTTATTATATTCCTGTGTAATAGAAGTAGCAGCATCTGGAAATAAACTTGGAATGAGGTGGGAAATTCTAATGGGAGATTTATAAAAACTCAGACTTCAGATGCTCCAAGGCAGCAATGGATTCCTGGCTTGCATTAAGCCCCTTTGGTCTCATCTGCATTTTTCTGCCAGGTTTTTGTTGCTGGATGAATGCTGAGGAGCTACAACTTCCTCCCCACCCTCCAACCTGACCTCCGTCTGTCTCCATCCCTTGTGCTCTGCCTTGGGAAACTCTGGACTAACACTTTTGGAGATCAATTTGTGTTTCCATGTAAGCCCTGTAAGACTGAAGCACATCCCCCTGTGCAGAATTCTTTTCCACAAGTATTAGACACCAGTTCAGCTTCTCCACTGCCTTAATGCCAGATACTGGAGCACAATACATCGTTAGTGATTTCTAACTAAAAACTAATATGAAAATGGAAGCAAAACCAATATAAACATATTAGGTTTGAAGACTATTTTCAGATGCCGCAAAGGGGGAAATGATTGTTCCTTGTCCTTGAGATCTTAAGAGGACACACTTCTTCCTCTGAGTCATGATATGATTTTAACTACATTATATTTTATTGGCCTTTTTTAAAAAAAATAAATGTAAAAATACCGCCTTTTATACATGCGTGGAAGATTTGTTTGTTTTTTAAACAACTGTACTTGGGCAACTCATTAAAACCAATAAAAAAGGAACCATTTATTTATGTCGTATCAACAAAAGACATAATGTATATCTAAAGTGCATTATGTTACAAAAATTATAGAAAGTCAGCAGCACCAAGATAAACGTTCATGGAAATAAATACATCATTCAACAAAATAAATTATGGTAAATGGACAACAAGAATTGTCTTTGCACAAAAAGAATCTCCCAATATTCACAATGTTCAAATGTGCAGTTTTGGAGAGCATCTGTGGCCAACGTTTTATTCTGATACATTTACAATATTTACAGATAATAAATACTTCTAACACTTTCCATATGTTGACTATTACAGAATACTGCAGTGTGTTTTCCAAAAATCTCAGCTGACGATGTCAACGCCTCCTGCAAAGAAAGAGAAGAGAAATGGGGGGAATTAATATTTTCCCATACAAAATAATTGGACACAACATTTATAGTCTCACAACAGGGTGTGCCTGTTGGAAGAGATGATGAACAACTCTGGATTTTTTGTTGTTCAGTCTCTACTGTGCATGGTTTTCAGTACTATGAAACTAGCAATGTGAAGTATTAGAGATCAATTCCAAGTAGCTGATCCTTTGCAGCTGGGTCTCTCCTGAGACCCCCTCCCTCAATGCACAGTCATTAGCAATGCATCACATTTTAATCACAATTTAATATAGTGCTACTAAAACAAATCTAAAACTAGGTATTGTGAAAAATCCACCTTCCAAATCCAGGCTAGGCAGCCAAGTTCCATTCAGGCCTGTTGAGATTTGCTTCCTATGTTTGAGCCTACATATGACATCCTGTTCAAGATCTGTTCCATCTTTGTTACTTATTTTACATTTCCTGCTGAGGGTGGCCATTGGGCAAAGATTTATTCTGCCCAGACCTGTAATTCTCCAGTCTGCCTTTGACTCTTTCGTGAGATATATTTCAGAAAAGTCTGTTCCCATTTCTGGGGATATCTGTGCACAGCATCTGTAGCTGTGTTCCCCAAGGTGAGTGACTGGCTTACAACTTGAAAAATGGGGAAAGGACCAGGAGAAAGAACCAAAACAGCCAAATGACGGAATAGGGGTGGGTTATAGGTGACCATTTATTAAAGATGAGCAAACAACCTTTAGGCAAAGCTGCGGTAGCCTGGTTTTCTGTGTCATCCTGCCAAGCTGGAGGATTTTCACACATCAGCCCTCAAGCAGCTTTCTTTATTCACCTAAGATCCTGACATAAGACACACAAATCCATGGAAGTGATAAGCAGATTGCAAGTTATCAGATGCAAGCTTTCATTCTTTTGGAGAATGAAGAGAATTTCAGCTTGGAGCGCCATGGCCTTTTGCATTAGACTCTGAAGTGCACCTCTTAAGACCTTTCGCCTTTCTTCAGAGTGTATAAATAACAATCATGTCCAGGTTTTGGTTTTTTTACTACCTTGATCAAATTAAACAACCACTTTGAATGCTGGCTGCACTATATTAAGACAAGTTCACACCTTGATTTCTCTTATACTGTGTATGAGGAAAATAATTGAAAGCATTTTAAAATCTGCAATTTGAGGGGGAAAGCAGAGTTGTATCATGAAAAGATAACTAAAGTCACTTTTCCTGGAAATGTTCTACCAGTCTTTAAGGTTGATTGTCGCTTGATTAACATTGTGGGAACACGCATTTTTTGCCACCTTATTAGCACTGCATCAGGTAAAGCTGTTTTGGAAGCTCAGAAGCTGAAATTCTACATTCTATTTGGCAGAGAAGGGATTTTGCTCTTGTGCTTAATCACTTCCTTTTCTAAAAGATATATTTTAAATATCTCAAGTGTTCAAAGTCCTTACAGGCTCTATAATACTCATAAACTATTATATTGAAAACAAAAATGTTTTGAGACAAGCCCCAATCTAGAAACGCTTTGAGCGTTTTGGGTATCCTTTGGACGCAGCAATGTTGGTTCAAACGTTGCAAAATATTTATAACACAATGGATTACATCCAACATCGCATGAGTGGACTGAATGTGACAGAACCTCCCCTTCTTCTTCATCCCTCGCATCCCCTGAAAGGTAGTCCAAAGGAGCTGCAGGGGAGAGGAGAAGAAGAAGGGGAAGTCACATTGCACCAATGGAAGGCTGTTTTACCACTGAAACAGGCAGACAGTTTTTCTTTTGGGGAAAAATGTGATGCCAGTACTCATAGTGGTTGAAGTTCGGTAGGTGCTAGGACAAAATGGTTACCATGGGCAGCAAAAAATAAAAAAATAAAATAAAAAGACTGTCACAAAAAAGACACACACAAATGTGGATAGAAATGCAAGTCCTAAGAATAAACTTAGAAAATCTCTGGGAATGGGTTATTGTGAATAGTAAGTCGTCTACATGAAGATTAGGCCAATTTTGACATTTGGATGACCATGAGTTATATTTGAGTCCTGCAGTTCAAATAATACAAAAGTGACACCTTGTGTATCTGTAGGTGTTGCCCACACAGGAACCCAAATATTACCGTATTTTTTGCTCTATAAGACTCACTTTTTCCCTCCTAAAAAGTAAGGGGAAATGTCTGTGCGTCTTATGGAGCGAATGCAGGCTGCGCAGCTATCCCAGAAGCCAGAACAGAAAGAGGGATTGCTGCTTTCCCTGCGCAGTGATCCCTCTTGCTGTTCTGGCTTCTGAGATTCAGAATACTTTTTTTCTTGTTTTCCTCCTCCAAAAACTAGGTGCATCTTGTGGTCTGGTGCCTCCTCTGTTTATTACGTTTCCACATATTTACAGGAGACTAGTAATGCTTGTGTCAGGAGTATATAAATAGTGGTTAAATTTGCCTGTTGCTGCAAACTGAGTGTCTAATATTACAAATAAGTCAATAGTCTATATACTAGCTAAAAAGGGATGACTCCATGCTCTTTGTTTTGAGACCGTTGGAAGAAAGGTAGGTTACAAATGTAAGAAAATAAGATTCAGTCCTAAAAAGCACACCTGTTAGAGAGCAAATCCTGTTGAACTCTTTTGAATTTCAGAGTAAGCATATTTAGAATTTCCATATTGCAATGCTTAATCCTGAAATCTTTGGGTGAAATAAAAATCACTATATTTTTTTTTTAGTTAAAGGGGAGTGAAAGAATGAGAGCTTTCACAATTCTTTCAGAAAATGATGATATGGAATCTGTGTAAAGTTGCAGTTCTTAAACGTACTCTTTTTAAAGAAGCTTGTCATACATGAGAGAAACATGTTTCTCTACCCCCGGGGCAATGCTCCACATTTTTCAGCAGCAGTGTAATTGTTTGACAAGCTGGCAGCAAAATTGGAACTGAACTAACAAGTCCTAATGACAGGGAAAATATTATGGCAGAAAGGCTGGCTGGTGTTAGCAGATATTACTAAGAGAAACTTTCCATGTTCTCCCCTAAGGATACAAACAGTGAGGTTTTTTCTTTTTTAAAAAATGGTGTAAATTGTTAAAGACAAGGGGGGGACATAGCTTACTTTTTATATCTGTGAAAGATATAAGGTAGACTATCATCTCATAATCCTAAAATTTGAAACGCCTCTCATTATAGAAAAACCGTGTTGCATTTTTAAAATGTGCAGAAGTTGTAAAGGGCTTGATTTTCCCTAGCACAAATACAAATCTCTCTGAAATTAATTTGCCCGCCTCCAAGGACTAGTAAATATAGTTGTTACGTAGTTACTAATTCCTTAAAGAGGGATCTAAGAGCTTGGAGTTTTGTCCAGGTACCGTATTTTTTGCTCTATAAGACTCACTTTTTCCCTCCTAAAAAGTAAGGGGAAATGTCTGTGCGTCTTATGGAGCGAATGCAGGCTGCGCAGCTATCCCAGAAGCCAGAACAGCAGGTGGGATTGCTGCTTTCACTGCGCAGCGATCCCTCTTGCTGTTCTGGCTTCTGAGATTAAGAATATTTTTTTCCTTGTTTTCCACCTCCAAAAAATAGGTGCATCTTGTGGTCTGGTGCGTCTTATAGAGCGAAAAATACGGTAACTTTGCTACTGAGGAACTGACTCAAAGGCAAACACTGATTTGCTGCCCCTCTCCCTGCAATGGTACCTCGGATTACATACGCTTCAGGTTACAGACTCCGCTAACCCAGAAATGGTACCTCGGGTTAAGAACTTTACTTCAGGATGAGAACAGAAATCGTGCAGTGGCAGCACGGCAGCAGTGGGAGGCCCCATTAGCTAAAGTGGTGCTTCAGGTTAAGAACAGTTTCAGGTTAAGAACAGACCTCTGGAACGAATTAAGTATGTAACCAGAGGTATGACTGTATCTCCAAAAGGAAGACATTTATCTTGGTAGCTTAAAACAACCAAATTACCTTAAAGAAGTGGGGAGCTACTGCTCTTGTAGAAGAGGAAGTAGCTTAATAATTTTCACCCTCTAAGTGATGTAGACAAAATAGGGATTAGAGACAGTCATACTATGAGGCAAGGTATAACTGCTGGAAACAGAACATTTTCAACATCATTTATTTCTCCTTCAATCCAAGAACCAGACTCCCTTGCACATCTCCAGTTTGCATCAATGGAATTGCATAGGAGAACTTTGCAACGCATTCTGCCCATGTTGATTACCATTTGAGTTTTCCACTTTAGGCATCCTATTGTCTTGGGTAGACCCTGGACATTTAAATTATTACCTTCTGCATTAAGGCTGAAGAGCATTACCTTGTATTGATATGTGTAGTTCCAAAGATGTCCAATAGGGGGATCTGTGTCATTCCACTTCCAGACCCTCTTGAGCTGAGCCAGGCTGAACGAATCCTCCTTTTTTTCTTCTCTTGCTCTTTACGTTTCCCGGGCTTTCCTTTCTTTTTCTTTCCTGGAGCCTTAGGAGGTTGCTCTTTGTACGTCTGGGCTTTGTTGGTCTCTTGAGTCAGGCACTTGCCTTCATCTTCACTGCCAAACCGGACAGCATAATTCTTTGCGATGGTGGCAGGTTTAGGGTTTGGTGATACCTCTGACATAGCCTGGATCTCGGCTGTGTTAACCCCTTCAATTAAATTTTGCAGGAAGTTTCGTCTTCGAATATCTTGCAAAGACTTTCCTTTATCGTGCAACAGCTGGTATTCTGATACTGTCCTTTTGCTGCTTGAAAAAAAGCAAATCCACACTTCAATAAAAAAAGAAATGTTGCTAAATCAGTTTAGCCAAATCTATTCCTTTCTGGGTACAGTGAAACCTTCCACCTCTAAAGCATTTATGAGCTACTTTTGGTTCACTTTTCCTTACAGAAATAGAAGATCTAAAATTGAAATAATTTGCGAATTATCTTACACTCGACCTATTGAGCAGTCTTAGCTATCAAAGACAACCACATAAAGTTGCAAAAGACATGGGCATAATGTATTGTAGGGGAATAAAAATTCAGCTTATGCATTCTTTGACTTAATACGGGCAAATATTTCCAAACAGATTATCCCCAAAGCAGTCTTGTGTCAGGGTGTCTTCTGACATAAACTTTATGATATGGACCAGTGGAAAATGTTTCCTTCCTGCACCACTCTGGTAGCATGAGAAGTCTGAGATCATGTGGGGGCGGCAAGATTTAGCATGACTCATTTCCATGCCAGCATTATTCTAATTTTCAGGAAGAACAATGCTGGGATGTTGTGAAGCTCTGTCGTGGCCTTTTCCCAAGTGACCTCATCCTTCTGATGTCACCAGAGTAGCCCAGGGAAGAGACACATTGCAGCAGCAACTCCACTGCTGTAATATCAAAATGGGTCCTTAGAAATGCAAATTCTTATGCAAATGCATCATGCATGGATTTCTGAGATAGGAACTTCCTTTAGTTTAAAAGAAACTAATGTTCTACACCTTTTATGAATAGATTAATTATAGGGCCTTGCCTTCGACTCTGACATATTTGTTCTCTCAGTGGAGACGCTTTGTTGACTTGCGGTGTGCAAGCCCCTTCCCTGTCTAAAGTATGGGGATGTTTTTTGTACATAGATTGAACAAGTACTTGGTGAAGAACTGTGTCACCAGAACATGATGCAAAGGAGACCATGTGCTGAGGATGTATCAACCTGTTTTTATGATTTTCAATTACTGGAACAGGATGACCAACTTATATGTTCTCTGGGGCATTCTACTCTTCAGGTGGTAGTCTGTGACTCAGAAGTGTATGCTGCCAAATGAATCAACCTCATCATTGGTCAGGCCCCATAATAAATTTATGGAGCAGCAAGAACGATTTTATGCATGGTGCACATGCACCCAGCTATAGACAGAGCATTATGTGAAAATCTGGAGGCAGTTGCCACATGGGTTAGCTCTTTCTTTCCACTTGAAAAAAATGCCTTTTTATTTTCCTTTGAAGTTAAGCCATTGGCAAACCACTTACCATCTCTTGATTATAATCTAGTAGCACTACTAGGGACTGAATAAAACAACTTTGGATGATGAGTGATTTGAAGGCAATATTTGGTCTGCTGTTCATCAGGTGGTCATCTCTCATGTAGAATACAGTTTCTTGGCATACATGCTCCAAGCTAGCCTAGATGTCAGGAGATTTACTCAATGCCTCAGTCTTATATTCTCTATTAACCACTTTTCCTCAGCAGCACCCATCCTGTTAGGCACTCTTAATTTGTTTCTATGTACATAATACTTTCCTAAACTACTGTTTTATACAACAAGAGCAGTCTATATCACATTTTCTCAGCTTCCTCAATTCTGGGCTACTTAAGCAATGGTTTAACCAGGCATTTTGCAAGAGTGCAGACTGGAATAACAAGGGAGTTAAGAAAATGTGGTCCACAGAAACCATATTGTGATCCAACAAGTGATCTAAGCGTTGCCTGGGAAGTAATTAACTATGGGAAAATGTGTGTTTCTGCCTCAGGGTAAGGTGGATGCATTGTGAACTGCACAGGGGAAAAAGGGAAGTGGGATTGTAGATCCCAAAGGTGCCACAAGTAGCTGTCCTTCCAGTCTGCTAGTAGTGGAATGCACTGAGGCATTCACATGGTTATTGCACAAACATATTATATCATATTATAAATGAGGGGACTCCTATTGGTCAAGTCAATGGATGTCACTACTCTGTTTCTTAATGAGGTAGGCATGTTGATGTATTTTATCGAGAAACATGGCAGCAATGAGAACCATATATCAACTTGCTGCCTGATGCATTGATCTCCATAGAGACTACAGTGGTACCTCGGGTCAAGAACTTAATTTGTTCTGGAGGTCTGTTCTTAACCTGAAACACCACTTTAGCTAATGGGGCCTCCTGCTGCCGCTGCACCACTGCTGCATGATTTCTGTTCTCATCCTGAAGCAAAGTTCTTAACCCGAGGTAACATTTCTGGGTTAGTGGAGTCTGTAACCTGAAGGGTATGTAACCTGAAGTGTATGTAACCCGAGGTACCACTGTATTTTGAATGTAGAGACCGGCATTTCTCTGTGTAACATGCAGAGGTCAAGAGGTCTTAAATACCAACATGAAATGTTATTACCACCCCATCGCCACTTGGATTGATGTTCATTTATTCATTTCTCAAAACTTGATTCCTCAGCACTTGATGACTTGCATGTGTGGAGTAACTTCATTTAAAAGAGTTGTGTCAAGGTTTATAACAAGATCTTGCCTGTGGTATTTGCTCTGGCCTGATCTTTAGAGTGGTTGTAGCCTTAGTGGCTAAGAGGCTGAGCTCCAAACTAGGAAGTCCCTGGCAGCAACAGAGCTAGATGAGACTGTCAGTGGAAAAACAGTGTCTTCAGTGGCAATCAGACTTGACTTTGTATGTGCTCATTGCCAAGTGCTTGGGGATCCCATTGATACAGTCAGTTTTAGCATTTTAATGAAAGTTATTTGTACTAATTGACACCTTGTTGATGTTACCAAAGTGTAACACCTCTCACACTAACTAAAATGGTTTATACAGGCCTGATGAAACTCTATGTGATTCTAGCTCATAAACTGCAATAGCTTAGTTATAGTGTGGAAGTCCCTTCACTTAAAGGTCACTTCAAACACTGCAAGCTACTAACATTAGAAGCACACTCATGAACCTAAAAACAAACAAAACATGTAGATTCATGGGAAGGCAAAAGGGTTGAAGAGAAGGCATGTACCTCAAGCCTGATACACTGCACTAAAACATGTACCCTTAAAATTGCAGTGTTAAAGGGACCTATGAAGGTCCAGTTAGTTCTTAGCTACTATTTTTATCATATTTGCCAGTCTGTCCAAAGCGACATATCTTGCAGTGCTTTCAGAATTTCTCAGGATGCTTCTCCCTTCTTAACAATCCAAACAATTAGGTACTTTATTAAAAATTTAGAAGCCAAAAGCCTGGCTGACCCGTCCAAATAAATGTGAAGAATTCACCTTGCTCCACCTTGGTCTCTCCAACTCTCATCTCTCCACCCCCACCCCTTCTCGTGTAATTTACCGGTAGTTAAATGATGTATGTGAGAGATGCATGCATGCACCCCCCCCTGTTAAAGTAAAATAATAATAATGCACAGCTTGCCTCTGTGCATTTATATTAGATTGACATTCATGTGCATTCACATAGTTCATGGACCCAGTTAATTGTTTTAAAATAACCATTCAGTGTGTTGAACCAATGTGTAGGCCGCTACTGTAAATGCTTCTGAGGAATACAGTGGTACCTCTGGATGTGAACAGGATCCATTTCGGAGCCCTGTTCGCATCCTGAAGCGAACGCAACCCGCGTCTGCAAGTGTCACGTTTCGCCACTTCCGCGCATGTGTGTGACATCATTTTGAGTGTCTGCGCATGCGCGAGCGGCGAAACCCAGAAGTAACGCGCTCCGTTACTTCCAGGTCGCTGTAGAGCGCAACCCGAAAATGCTTAACCTGACGCGTATTCATCCCGAGGTATGACTGTAGTAATCTGTGACCAAAAAGGGGAAGTGGTGGGGAGAAAGGTCATCCCACACTCTTTAAAAAACGCACCCCAATACAGCAGGAACCAGAACATCTTGGGAAGGCCCTAGTAAATGATGTCATTTAAATAATAATATAAATATAAATATAAATAATAGAACCATAACACAGGCTATAAGAAATGTAATTATTTCTCCCATTCCATGTAACTGTATGGACTGGGAAAAGATTAAACTATTAAACTTTTCATGTGTGCCTAATCACTGGGGTAGATTACTTGTTGAGTTCCTAAAAACAGAAAGATTGAAGATTTCAAAATTATTAGGATAACCCACTAGAGATCCCTTCCAGCCTGCAAGCCATGTTAAATGAAAGAATTCTGACCCCAAACCAGATGCAGTTAATGCAATGCTAACATGTGGTAAGCAATTTTGAGAGAAGAGTTGAGAGCTTATGGTTTCTCGCTGCCCAGAAGTACCCACACAAATTACTGTATACATTGTATGCCGCATTCACAGAGCTATCATTCAATCTCATGTACACAGTACTGACTGCTATGAATTCAGCATCATAAACACACTGGCTGGGTTAAACTGCTAATCCCCAAAGGAAAAATGGTTAACCAGTCATCATTAGAAAAGTGTCCACTCCTGATGTCTTGATCACCATAACTTCAAACAGTCGTCCTGGCCCAATTTCTCTTTCACTGCCTCCAAAAAGCTCGCTTCTCGTAACTGCAGTTTGCCTTCTCCTCCTGGAGTCTTTAGGAAAATACATGCCAAGAAACTTTCTATCACTAGAATGTTTACTGATCTGTAAGGTACTTTGTGGGTTTGGTGGCATTCTCATGTTTACAGACTCCTGTGAAGCCCCTCTTCCACAATTTACTCTTTCATTCCACAGTTGGAGGTTGGCTTGGAGTTACCACTATAGGACAGGCAGAGGCTATGGTCTTTGGGACCAAATCTGTTTTTGGCAGCTTGCTGCGTTCAGTATATAGCCTACCAAACTAAGTTACCAATCAACTCAAAACAGCTGTTCTTTGTAATATGGCAGGCTGTTGTTGTTTGTGGGCTTTGTTCAGGAATATCGCTTCACACACAGTGACTCAGTCTGGGTTAGCACCAAGGGGTGTGTGACTGCGAATTTTGCCTTGGTAACATTTAGTGGAGAGGGAATAATCAGAGATTTGTGGTGGGGAGCATTGCCTCAGAAGAAAGGGAGCCCTGATTAATAGAAAGATATATAGAACTGGTTCCAAGGGAAAGGCTCAACACTAATCCAAACATGGATTTTCTTATTAGCTGTGGTGAGAAGCATGGGGTGGCGTTCAACTTAGTTTTACTCATAGCAGATCAACTGAAATTAATGAACATGTCAAAGTTGGGTCCATTAATTTTAATATGCCCAATCTGAGTAAAACCTAGCTGAATACCACACAGCATTTCCAAATAAAAGACGTAACTAGTGTTAACAAGGGGAAGAGAATGTCCTTTAGCTTTATCTTCAGGACAGTGTTCTCTACCCACATTGCTCAAGGAGGTTTAAAGATTGCATTTTGGGACAAAGTTCATGCATGCATTTTCCAACCAAATTTGAATGGATTTATTATTAGTAATCCCAGCAATCAATGTACTGCATCAGGCAAGTCCCTTAGACATATAAATGCCACCCCCAGAAACATCAATCACTAATATAAAAATAGAGCCTAAAAACAGAAATAAAAGCAGTAAAACAGCGTAAAGCTAATAAGCAGCACTGTTACTTCTAAGTTTATGGAATATATGGTTTCCTAAAATTGTTGGTTTATACTTGGCTTCTGAACTTATTGGACACTCCCCTTCCGAATAATTAAACCAGCATAAAGAGATTTCAGGATCAGGATCTTAAGTAACTAGAAATCTATTGATCATTAGTTCGTAACCACAGTGCGGGATTAATGACACGGGTGGTTTCTCTGTTTTGTTTACATATGCAGGCATATGATTCATATTAATAGACATGGGGGCAGTGGGGGAGCATACATGTTTTGGGTTCTTTCTCAGATTCTCTTATCTCAAAACTCTCACTAAATCAGATATTTAACTCTGGACCAGAAAGTTAATGTTAACTGTCACGGTACCAAGGTGGGCGAAGGCAATGTCTGTGATATAAGTGTCATGTATATTCTCCCACAGTGTAGCTGGGACCTAGGCCAACATGCCTATAGCCCCATTTTCCACATCTGAAGTCTGTAGTGTGTCTGCTATTGTAGCATTCCTGTAATATGAATACTGTCTGTGTGTATATTTGTAATTGTACACAAGTGAGGCTCTGCTCCCCACCCACCCTGTGTCCTTTAAGGACAGCAATTGTTCCTCTTATGCATTGCCAAGAATCACTGAGTGAGATTCTCCCCAACCCCATCACTGTTCTCAACTCTTCCAAATATTATGCTGTCCCCAAACAGTCTTCATAATCACACTTTGAAAAATATCTTCCTGTGCATATAGAGAACCAGCATCACTTTTAAAAAAACTGGAAGCAGTGAAAGAGATAGTTCCTTATCTGTTATTTTTCTAAAATTAAACTTGTCCTTATTGCTATTATTCTTTAAAGGTTGAATAAAATCTGTATCCCTGACCAATGACTTCATAAGCAGCTGGTTTAAGACGTTTCAGGCACATTCCCCTGTGAAAAGCTGAAATGCCACTGTTAGAAAGAGGAGATCAGAGCTGTTGCTGTATCAAAATTCCCTCCCCAACCACTCCAATTGTAATGATAGAGGAGAGGAAGATCAAACTGGAACTTACAGTCTGCGGCTATTCCCTTCCAGCGATCTCTCAGAGGAGGGTACACAGTAACTCAATAGAAAAACCAGGAAACTCCACTGGTGAAAGAGCCTGGGGAACATCGTCGCTTTGCTGTGAGTCTTTGGAACCTGCGAAGGAAGACACGGTAAGTTTTTGCTCCTAAGCGCGTGGGTGCGTGAGACGCGCTTTGAAGCGGAGACGGAGGTCCCACGCGTGGATTCCCCACTTCGTCCCTACCTCACCCCCACCCCACCCCCCGCCACACACACACAAAATCCAGAGCAATCTTCTGAGCTGAAAGCAAGCCGAGTGCCTAGGTGGGCAACAGAACCAAGGATTCTGCGTCCCAGGACAGCCCTGCACTGGGCAGGGGGTCGCGTCCTTCAAGAACTGCAGCCGCTTTCCTTTCCTCTCCGAGAGAGAAAGCCACGCATCCTCCGTCGGCAAAGTACCTAGAAATCGAGGTTCAGGTCAGGAGCTTCCGGCAAGTTGTCGTCTCTGCTTACAGTACTTTCTAACATGCACCCGCACCCTGAGTCCTGGTGCGCGCACACCCGCCGAGCGCTACGAAAGGGAGGAGGGAGGCAGCCAGCGGGGAGAGCAGCCGCCTCTGGGAAACCTGCTGGAGGAGGAGGAGGAGGAGGAGGAGGAGGAGGCATTTTGCAAAGAGATGGCGCCCGAGGAACATGGGCCGAGACCCCAGCGCTGCCGGCGGGCGGCGAGCCCCACCCTTGGCGGAAGAGCGCCCGCCCGCCCGCCAGCAAGATCCTCTGGGTCCCGGAGCTCGTGGGATGCGAAATCGGCCGTGAGGGACGGGGCGCTACTTCTCTTCGAAGGCAGCTGAATGGAGCGTGCCTTTCCGTGTCGCGAGGAGGAGCAGATCGCATTTCAAACTAACCTCCCCGCAAGCAGAAAATCCATCAGGGTCCCTGAGGCGCTACATTTCTACGCGCAGCGAGGGTTCTCTACTTGCGCGGGGAACATTTCACACGAGCCAGAGCGAGCCTAGAGTCCTTCTGTCCTCCGAGGTCTCCCGGCCTCATTCCGCCGCAGGTGTCGAAGCGGCTTCCGCAGCCCCCCTCGCCGCTGGGATTGGGGCGAGGAGGGGAGGCCGAGGGGGCGCCGTCCGCCCCGCGGCCCTTCCTCCTCCCCACCTCCCCGAGGCCCAGTTCCGACGGGGCGACCTGGCGCCGAGGGCGCCCGGCCCGGGCGGGGGCTCCTCCGCCAGAGGCGCCGCCAAGCTCCGCGTCGTGTCCCCCGCGGGAGGAGGAAGCGGCGGCGAAGCGCCTTTGCGCGTGAGAAAGGGCTCGCGCTCGCCGGAGTCCCCAAGAACAGCCGGCGGCCCGACGGCGGGGACCAAGGCGCGGTCGAGAGAGAACCCCGGGCCCGCCCTCGTGGCTCGGCGGAGCTGCTGGAGATGCGAAGAAGAAGAGCGAGGCTGCGGGTCGCGGGTTCCGATCAGGCGAAGGCCAGGGACTGTCCGACCCCGGAGCGGGCGAGCCGGCTGACGAGAGGCTTTCGAGGGAGTGGGCCTGGCGCCTGGGGCGAAGCCCCAAAGGGCATTTCTCCGCCTCCCCCCGAAAGAAGGGCTGAGTGAAGTTGCTCCTCGGGAGCAAGGCCCGGCGGATCCTCCAGGCCCGGCCTGGAAGCGCCCAACCCGGCGGCCTTGGGCAGAGCCGGGCGGAACTTGTCCGCCTTGGTTCCTGGGATGCGCCCCAGGCGCCCTGCCGAGCAAGGGGAGCGGGCCTATCAGGCAGCAAATCCCGACATGCGGCCAGTCTTTCAGGGCCGAGCTTCCCTGGTGCCCTTTTGGCCCAAATGTCTTGGGCCGGCCTCCCCTGCCCAGTCCCCTTCCTTCAGTGGCGCTGCTTCTGCTCCTTCACCAGCCCCATTGGAATGAATGGGAGTCACGCCATTTAGTTCAATGGAACTTGGAAGAATGGACCCGCCTCCTGCTTATGGGGAAGTTTAATGGGCACATTTTCCCCGTAGGAGTCTTCATCCCCACCATCCAACACGCACCCAATCCTGGGAACTTCTTTCCCGACAGCTCAGTCAGTAGATCTTGAGGGTCTTGGGTTCGAGCCCCACACTGGGCCAAAGATTCCCTTCCAAATCTTACCGTTCTATGATTCTAGGACTACATCACAAGCCTGCCTCCAGTGTAACAATGAGATATTTGAAATACACCAAATTCCCCCAACTAGAGATATCAAATCAGGTGAAGCCCAGGATTTTGAAAGAGGCGGCAGGGCTACCCTGCTCCAAACTGCCTCTCGCTCAGCCAATTCAAACAGAGGCAAATGCACAAATCAACCGGTCCTCGGATTTCTTTTCTCTGCATTGCCCAGGAAATGCTGCTCTCTGAAAACCACCAGAGATCTTCTGTGGGGCTGCCGACCCACTCATTACAGACTTAGGAAAAACAAACAGTTGGTGTAAAAAGACTTGGAAAACTGAAGTTCCCCCAGAATTCATTACTTCACCTTTTCCTTGAGCGCTTCTCCTCTTCGCCTTCTCAGAGATCAGCCTGGCCAAGACAAAGTTGGTTTTCTCAGCGGTCGCTTCCAGAATTTATTTTGTCTCTCTCCCCTCCTTTCCACCCTAGAAAGCAAGCCAGTCACAGGAGAGGGAATCTCTCTCTCCCCTTCCAGCTCCAGTAATCCAAACCTAGGAGTTTTTATTTTGCATGGGAGAAATGAACAGAATGCAAATAAAATTAAAATAAGATAATAGGAGCAGGTGCTTCCTTTTCTCTGACTCTTTGTGTCACTGGAGGAACAGAGAGGGATTCGCCTTATATATAGCTATACGGAAACGGGGTGGGGATGGGAGAACCCCTTTTTTCTTTCTGCCCTCGAGGGAGCATGTGATGCGAATGGGCCTGGGCATGACGCGGCCCCGGGAGGGCTGGCTGGACGGGGCCCCAGAGCCCCATCTGGTTGGACGGCGACCGCCCCATCGCGCCCTCCAGCAAATGGAGGGGAGAGGGAGTTCCTGCTCGCCTCCTCTCGTCGCCATTGGCCCGCGGGACACCTACACACGCATGCCGGAGCCGTGAGGCATCCCAGTCCGGGCTCCTTCCCGCACCGTCACCTTCCTGCCATTGCATCCCTCTGGAATTCCTGCTGCCCCGCTGGCTCCTTTCCCTGCCATCACAGCTGTTCCCAAAATGCCCTGGAGGAGCGGAGCTGAGGCGGTTGCTGCCCCGGCTTCTGGCCCCTGCTGCCGGCGTCTCTTCCGCAAGAAGGGGTTCCTGGAGAGAAATGCTCCTCTGCCTGCCGCGCCAGGAGGCCAGACCTTCAGAAGGCGCTTCTTATCTGATCGCACTCCTGCGCTTTTAAACCCTTCGCTTCCGAACGCCTTGTTTGTGCGTTTTGAGAGCCGACCTCACGTCTTGGGCTGAGGAATGTGAGAAATGAGCCCTGGAGCTTTTTTTCCTGGGGTAAAACGGTTATATACGCGTAGGGAGTGGATGAAGAATGGTGGCGGAGGCGCGCGTGTCAGCAGACCTCCTAGCTAGGAAAAGCGCCTGAAGGATTTCGAGGAGCCCCCAGCCCAGCGCTTCTGTTGTCTGACTCAGGGGGTGGGCTGGGGCTCCCTTAATATCCGCGGGCTGGAAGAGCTCCTACTTTTGTCTGCCCCAGCAAAGTCTGACAAAGGATTCAAAGTGCACCCGCTTCCCCCCCAGGGTGTTTTTTGTTTCTCTGTTCCTGCTCCCCAGCCTCACCCTAGTATGCATACGCATCAGTGCTCCTGTCCTCTTCTTCCTCCTTCAGCTGGACATTTGACTTCCGGAATAGCCAAGCGGCTCTTCTTCCAGGATATGAAGTCTCAGTGGAACTTCTACTGCCAAATGAATGGGCTGGGAACTGTGGCCTTTACAGCTCTATGAGGGTTCTCCAGAAAGGTGTCTTTCTGGACTTTGAACCCAGGCCAGTAACATTTCAACTGGTGTTTGCACACCAGTGACTTCCAAAGCACTATTCAGCAGGCAAAGTGTCTTACAAATTTCCTGTACAATTCTGCCCCACCCCCACTGTGTAACTCACCTCACCCACCTATTGTCAAATCTCTTGATGATCCATCCAGCCTGCTAGGAAGTGGATTCTCCCACGTAGGTGTCCTGTCTGATCATCCTCTTGTTTCCTGTGTTCCTGTAATCAGGAGCAGTGCACCTCCCCTTTTTTTTTTCCCCTGCCCAGACACTTCCTGATACTACTAAACTATGAACAGGTGGGTTGAACTGGATAGCTTCACTTGATGCAGCTTCTTCCAATTATGAATTGTTGCAGCAGTTTTCATGTAACATACTTTTTTGGCTGGATGCCTGTAAGAATTTAGGTTAAAACACACAAAGAGAGTGAAGTGTGTTGTGCCAAACCTGCTGCCTGGTTCTAAGAATCTAGTAGTCTCTCTGTGTGTCTAATAGTAGATTGACTTTCCATGTTGAGGAGGGCAAGGATTCAGTTATTTAATTCATAAAGCCTGTTCCTTCTATATATAGCTCCATGGTGAATGCTGCTGGCATTTGCTTCGGGCGTGTAGACTGTGGAGCGTGGCAGAACTCCAGAGGGATAAAACACAGAATCGGGTTGTGACTCCAAGGCACTTGATGCTTTGGACTGGCTGGTTCAATCCAGTGAGCTGTCCTTGGTGGTTGCAGCCCAGGAAGTTTCTCTCCTGGTCATAGCAAGTGGTAACCCCCTTCCTTCCTTCCTTCCTTCCTTCCTTCCTTCCTTCCAGATATCTTTTCTGATGGTACAATGATAAAGCTGTTTATACACAAAAGCCTCTTGGGGCTAGGTGTGTAGACATTTGTTCCACAGATCCCCTGCACCCCCAAGGCACTTTGGTATCCTCAGTTATATACAGTGGTACCTTGGTTTACAACCATAATCTGTTCCGGAGCTCCGTTTGTAAACCAAAACAGGTTGTAACCCAAGGCGCGCTTTCTCCAATGGGGCCTCCCCCCAAAATTTGTTTGTAATCCAAAAAAAGAAGAAGAAAAGGTTGTAATCCAAAAAAAGTTTGCAAACCGGGACACGCACTTCCGGGTTTGATGTGTTTGTAATCCAAAATGTACGCAAACCAGAGTTTGCAAACCAAGGTACCACTGTATCTGGAGCAACCTATTTGGGAGAATGGATGCAAAGCCTACAGCATTATATTATCTTGTTTTAGATCATGTGGGAACCATGGCTAATGGTGGGAGATCTACATGGCTCTGAGATCTTATGATGAAAAGCAAATAGATAGCTGATAGGTAGATAGATAGATAGATAGATAGATAGATAGATGATAGATAGATAGATAGATGATAGATAGATGATAGATATAGATAGATGATAGAGAGATAGGTAGATGATAGATAGATAGACAGACCAGGAAAATTTGTAAGGCCACAGATCACCCCCGCTTTTAAATACCATGGTATGCTCCTGATCAGCAGGTGATCTGCTTTGTCTAATACTTCCCATTATAGCCACCCACTTGTATTCATCCAGCTTTACCACTATTGGTCAGTCTGGTCTCTAGTTGTAGTCCATGGCAGAATTTTATATGCAGGAATCAGAATTTCTTTGTCCAGTCATCTCTTGGTGTCACTTGAAAACTGCATAATGCCCAGAAGAGCCTAATCCAACTAAGTCTGCAACTTCTTCCTACATGCTATCTGTGACCAATACACACCAATGAACAAGCCAGCTTCAACCCTGCTCCACTTTGCTTAATATCTAGCCTGATTAAGAGTTCTGGAGAACTCAAAAGCTTGCTCACTATTTTGTGACATTTTGGTTGGTCCTAATAAAGGTTTCTCACATTGCTGCCCAGGTTTGTAGAAGCACAGATTTAAAATCAGGGTGTCCCTAATCCAGATTCACTAAAAACACAAATACCTTCCTTTTGTTGTTGTCACCTCACCTCCAGCAGAAAGGAACACACTTGCAACTGGCTTGCATAAGATTCTGATTAACTGGGTGGGAAGTGAAGTGGCATGCGCTTTGACATTCCAGTGTTCGGAAAAAGCCAACAGGAGCAAGAGGAACCTCTGAAATACCTTGGGACTCTGTCATCTAGGTCAGGTTTGGACAAGTACGGATTTAGTATCAGAGTGTCCATAATCCAGATTAGCTAAAACCATATATATTGCTGTAAACTGTATGTGGCAATTTTTAAAACTCCTGCGTATACATCTTGTTCTCACATCTAAATACTGAACATTTATTGGGTTCAGATTAAATAAAATGTGTGGTGTGGCTCACAATTGCTTCTCTGGAAAAGAGAAATCTGTTCAGCTAATTCATTCCCCATCCCAGTGGCTAGCAGTTTGAACAGGTAAATTGGCAGACTATGAAGGTAGGCATTTTGTCAAGCTTAACATTTTAATATAAATTTTCTGCTTTTTTGCATTACCCCAATAACCAATAAAATGATTTGGAAAGGAAAAGATTTAGTAGAGCACATAAATGAATGTCATCAATACCTAGAATGGGCATTGCCATTCAAGTACTGTGTGTGCACTGTGTCATGTGATCAATTATGTGGGGCAGGGCTTACCTCCCCCCCCACACACATTTTATTCAGGTTGGCACCCCTGGTAGTGATATAATGAGTACTTTCCATTCATGACATCAGGTTTGTCTTTGGCTCAAATATTTGTTAGTCTTCAGTTTTTGATGTATTAATTCCTTGTTATGTAGAAAAGTCTGAACATTGTAATTTTATTTTATATAGTAGATATAGTTTAATATGCAATAAACGTATTGTCAGATGGGTCAGTTTGGTTAAATTGTATAATCATCTTTTATACTAAGGGAACCAATTTCCAGATTTGTAAGTTTTTGTTTGTTTCTTTTGTTACTGTGTTTGTATTGTGTATGCTAGTTCTAAGGACCCATGATCCTCTTAGTTAGTAGTTCAGTCTTCTCATTCAGGAATTGTATGAGAAAAATAGATCAACTTTTTGACTCAGTCTGGAGAATCTGAGGAGTGAAGGATTTCCCACTGCAAATTTAGACTCATAGAATCACAGAATTGTAGAGTTGGAAGGGGCCCAGTGGGTTATCTAGTCCAACCCCTTGCAATGCAGGAATCTCAACGAGATCATCCATGATAGATGACCATCCAACCTATGTTAAAAAACCTCCAACTGTCAAACAGTTCTTATCGTCGGAAAGTTCTTCCTGATCTTTAGTCAGAATCTCCTTTCTTCTAACCTGAATCCAGAGCAGGAGGAAACAAGCTTCTTCTATCTTCCTTGTGACAGCCCTTTAAATATTTGAAGATGGTTATCATACCTCCTCTTCAGTCTCCTCTTATCCCAGCTAAACATACCCAACTTCCTCAACCGTTCCTCATGAGGCTTGGTTTCCAGACCCTTTTATCATCTTAGTCTCTCTCCTCTGCACATGTTCCATCTTGTCAATAGTTGCCATATGCAGCCTATACCAGCCAACTCAATAAGAGTCTTTCCTGCATGTTTTCTTTGCAGGTGTATTCTGCAATGTGTCCCTGAGGGCACATCGAGACCGTCACTAATTTCAGACAGGATTCAGTCACATACTGGCAAATTCAGACATGAGCTCTCTCTTTTTCCTTCCTACACCTCCTCCTTCCCCTGCCCCTGCCTTTAAAACCTTGGGAAAGAGCCAGTGAAAACAGTGTGATGATAGACTAGTGCAAATTTGGTATAGGGAGAAAGTTACAAAGTTAAGCAATAATTGATGAAGTGTGTTTCAGTAAAATGCTCTATGTAAAAACCTATGC